TCTGTTTCGTTTTTGTAGGGCCGGCTTTGCAGTAGAAGTGATTCTGGCAGCTCAGCCACCGCCAGATCAATTCTACGATCCGGTAACCGGGTCGACCCATCACCCCCGCCTTGTTTCCTGGGCTCCGCTGCCACTCCTATGGACCCAGGACCAGCTTGCTGGGTGTCGGTGGGAAGCTGAGGGGAGATTGGTGAAAGTCCGTTCACAGATTTCCTCCCCGTACTATGGGACCGGGAGCAACGCGTATTGCATCACTTCCGGGCCCCTAGGCTGTCATTGCTGGGCTCCTAAAGCCCAGCAATAAGCTATAGAAGTGCGATCTGCCCTTCAATAACTTGGAGTGTAAAGGTGATACTAGGGGTCTTTTGGACCCCCCAGCATCACCTTTTAAAGAGTACCTGTCACTACTAATATGCTATGGCATTAGAGTCTTGTAAGCCCCCCTATGTGAGGGCAATTAAAGTAAAGTTTTAAATATCAAATTAAATGTAAAAATAATAATGTTTAAAGGCCCCAGCGAGCACACGCATCGGGTGTGCCTACGTACAAAAACGACGCTTGCGCTACACAAGTTGGGTATCGCCGCGCACGCCAGAGGGAGAGCAATAATTCTAGGGCCAATATTTACATGCATCTCTAAACTGATGACCTGTAGGGGCTTTTACATCATTGTCTTGGGACTTTTGGGGGTACTGAATTCTGTCCCAGTTTCACGGATGCACACAATTTTTAACCTGGGCATGTTGGATATATATGTACTTGTTGCAATCTCATCTTTTTATATTTAAATTTTTTTGATGTAGTGTGATTTGGGGCTCTAAATTCAACTTAAGAGCATTTTTCACTAATTTTTTGGGTTTGATAATGTTGCGCTAATGTAGAGCAACATAAAATTTTTATTTTATAGGGTCTTGGCTTTCAGAAAATATATAAGGTTTGGAGTTTTTTGGTATAGTCCTGGCCAAACGTTTTGAGAATGACACGAATATTCATTTTCACAAAGTATGCTGCTTCAGTTTGTATGAAGGCAATGTGCATATACGCCAGAAGACTTTTGTAGGATGGGCTGGTGTCAAGAAGTGCAGCAAAAAAGCCACAGCAGAAAAACATCAGGGACAGACTTATATTCTGCAAAAGGTGCAGGGATTGGACTGCTGAGGGCTGGGCTAAAGTAATTTTATGTCATGAATCCCCTTTCCGATTGGGGCATCTGGAAAATACCTTGTCCGGAGAAGAAAAAGTGAGTGCTACCATGAGTCCTGTGTCATGCCAACACTAAAGCATCCTGAGACCATTCAGGTGTGGGGTTGCTTCTCAGCCAAGGGACTGGGCTCACTCATGATTTTGTCTAAGAACACAGCCATGAATAAAGAATGGTACAAAAACACCCTCCACTTCTCCCAACAATTCAAGAACAGTTTGGTGACGAACAATGCATTTTCCAGCATGATGGAGCACCTTGCCATAAGGCAAAAGTGATAACAAGTGGCTTGGGGAACAAAAGATCGGAATTTCTCCAATCGTCTTCCAGGACAGCAACCTGAGAGATGATTGGATCTTCAGTCTACAGGAAACACAATCAGGCAAGGTTAAAAACCCCTCCCACCCCCCTCGTCCCTCAGTTTTTTGATTGTGTTTCTTACCGTCTGGGTCAGCGCAATGTTTGTTTCTTTGTCCCGACTGGATGGCCTTGTGGTCAGCAGTCACCCTCTGTTGGGCTCTGCTATGGTAATGGATTCCTGAGCCTTGCCTTCTTGTGGTACAGAGGTTGTTCCCTAAGAAGAGGTAGCTGGGTCTCTCCCAAACCTAAGGGTAGACACTTAGCTTATCTTTCCCCCGGGCTGTTTGCCCTGTCTGGTGCTCTGGGAGCTTGCCTCGTGGTGGAGGGCAAGGAGGCGGGATTTCCGGGTTCCAAGCCTCGTTCTGAGTTAGGAAGTGTCACGTCCCGTGTGACGTCACTTCCGCTCTTCGCCATGGAGACGCTGGCCAGACAGAGGGGAGTTGCTGCACGCCGCCGAGGCTGAAATGGAGGAAGAAGCCAAGCTGGCAATGTCTGCACCCAGGTCCAAGGTAGTGGTGAGTGATGCTTTTGGAGGGACTGGGTGTAGTCTAGGTGGGGGGTGCCCTTATTGCTCCCAGTAGCTGTATTGATAGTGTTTTGTGCCTCTCTCTTCAGGATGCACTTCTGGGGGACAAGTCTGCAGCCCAATTAGCAGTTCCACTTTCTGCCTCATCTTCTAAAGCATTGAAGAAGCGGTGTGGCAGTTGCAATGTTAAATTACCTCTGAATTACTCCAAGGCCATTTGTGAACAGTGTATACATAAGGTTATGTTGATTGAATCTTCATCACTTGCAGGACTTTATGGCCAGTATGCGTAATGAAATGGTGACTGTTGTGCAATCTTTCAAGAATGTTTTTTCTGAACTGTTGCCAATCACTACCTCCTCGATTGCCTCTGCAGGGCCATCTGGAAGTTCTGCTCTGCCTTGTTCACTTTCTAATTCTGCTTTTACTCGGGTAGAAGAGAAAGAGGAGCATTCTGGTTTAGATACTGACAGTTCCCTAGAAGAGGGAGAGGCTGTAGAAGGGAATGTGGAGATTCAACCGCCACGTCACCTTTTTGCTCTAGATGACATGGACGATCTGTTACAGGCTATTTATACTACTGAACAGATTCCTGAACCTCCAAAAGCTTGTTCTGTGCAAGATAGGCTTTACAGGGGGTTGCGGGATTCCGAAGGTAGAGTTCTTCCTTTCCATCAAACACTAAAAGATTTAGTTTTAGGTGAATGGAAGGATCCTGAGAGGAAGCATTTAGCCTTTCGGTCTTGGAAGAGGCGTTTTCCTTTCGGTAAAGAAGAGGAGGAGACATTTTTTAAATGCCTTAAATTAGACACAGCATTATCGCAGGTGTCTAAAAAAACAGGACCTCTCCTTTGTGGATTCAGGGAATCTGAAAGATCAAATGGATCGCAAAGCAGAGGCCTTGTTGCAGAAAGCATGGGATGCAAATTCCTCTGCTATGACCCCGGCTTTGGCCTCCACCTGTGTGGCTAGGAACTTAGACTTGTGGCTGGAAAGGGTTTCACAGCATGTTTACATAGGGGCCCCTGCGGAACAAGTGATAGATTCTCTATCAGTCGTGAGTAAAGCAGTTGCATATCTGGCTGATGCTGCGGCTGAATCTGTTCGAAGCATCGGCTAGATCAGCAGCTCTTCTCAATTCAGCTAGGAGAGCTATCTGGCTGAAGTCTTGGGAGGGGGCATGTTTCCTCTAAATCCAAGTTGTGTGGGTTGCCCTTTTGAGGTTGCTCTTTGGTCCAGGCCTTGAAGACGTGTTGACTAGATCCTCAGAAAAGGGGAAGAAATTCCCTGAGAAGAAAAAGCCCTTTCGCAATCGTAGGTTTTTTCGAGGCCCCCAGGACCAGAAAAAACAAGGGGGGAGACCTCAGGAGCAGAGGAAAAGATGGCCCTTTAGCAAAAAGGAGGTTTGCTCTTTACTCCTCCTGACTCCTCCAACAAGGAGTCAAAATGACGCCACATTGAAAGTGGGAGGGAGACTTTCTCTTTTTCTTCCACAGTGGGTGGAAATCACAAAATCAGTACATACTAGATTTTATAAGAGAAGGTGTTCGGTTGGAGTTTCAGGCTCTCCCTCCACAAACTTTTTTCCTTACGCCTCGGCCAAAAGATTGCTTAAAGGCAGTGGCATTATGGGCATGTGTCCAAAATCTTGTTTCCCAGGACGTTGTTGTCCCAGTTACAGAGGATCAAATATTTCAGGGGTTCTACTCCCATATTTTTCTTGTACCCAAGCCAGGGGGCAAATTCCGATTAATACTGAACTTAAAGAAAATAAATTAAACCAGTATCTCCTGTTCAGAAGGTTCCGGATGGAGAACATATACTCGGTCCGGAAGATTTTGCAAAAAGATCTGTTCATGGTGACTTTGGACTTAAAAAGGATGCGTATCTCCATGTTCCAATTTGGTCAGGACATCAGAAATTCCTGAGATTTGCCGTGCAGACAGAAAGGGGGTTTCTCCATTTTCAGTTCAGTGCCCTGCCCTTCGGGCTCTCTGCGGCTCCAAGAGTCTTTAAGAAGATTCTGTCAGAGGTAGTCTCCTACCTCCACGTGCGCAAGATTTCCCTGATTCCGTATTTAGACATCCTCCTTTTGTTTAACCTTCTGCTCCAGGGGCCGGTTTTGCATCACGATCCAAAATTCTTTCGCTTGACGGCATGGATGTTGAAAGGAGGATCCTAGAACATAAGGGCTGTTCTCAAAAAGTGGTGGATACACTGCTATCCAGTTGGAAGCCAGTAACAAGGAGGATTTACAGCAAGGTGTGGAAAGTGTTTTCCTCATGGTGCGCACAAAAGCAGATCTCTACCCCGTCAGTCCCAGTCATTCTGGACTTCCTTCAGGAGGGTTTGGATAAGAAGTTGGCACTGAGTAATTTGAGGGTGCAAATTTCCGCTCTTTCTGTTTTTTTGGGACATTAGATTAGCAGAGGATACGTTGATTTAAAAGTTTTTTTTCTGGCAACAGAACGCATTATGCCTTTGTCAAAGCAATTTTTTCCTCCAAATTATGCAAGAATAGGCTGCCAACAGTCAGGATGTGGCCCAGAAGTTGATTGACAGCATGCCAGGGCGAATTGCAGAGGTCTTGAATAAGAAGTGTAATCACTGCAAATATTGGCTCTTTGCATAAAAGTCATGTAATTGTCAATAAAAGCCTTTGACACATGAAATGCTTGTAATTATACTTCAGTATACAATAGTAAAATCTGACAAGATCTTAAAACACTGCACTAGCAGCAGACTTTTTGTGAAAATTAATATTTGTGTAATGCTCAAAACGTTTGGCCAGGACAGTGATTATCAGGCCTAAAATGTGTATTATACCATGGGTGCAAAAACCTGTAATATGGTCACCTTTAAAAAAATAATGTTTTTTTGTTTATAAATTTATATATATATTTTTTTTTTTAGGTGTGGTCACTGCAAGCAGTTTGCTTCTGAATATGAAAACATTGCAAAGACACTAAAGGACAATGATCCACCGATACCAGTTGTAAAAATAGATGCTACAGCAGCATCCAAGCTTGCTGAAAAATATGACATTAGTGGTTATCCTACAATTAAAATTCTAAAGAAAGGTCAGACTATTGATTATGATGGTCCTCGAACAGAAAAGGGTAAGTAAAACCTTAGTCCAACATACAATTGATTTGAAAAACTTGAGACCTAAGCATCACCCACAGCAATTTCTAAATTGATTAACAATTCTATGCTTTGTATTCTGACAACGTGATGGTAACTTGACTTTTTTTTGTTTTTTAAAATTCTGTTTCCCGGAACATTTAAACTGAGTAACTCCCACTTTTGTTAAAAAAATAAATTGCAACGATTTAACATGTTGCAGATTCCTACTTTTATTTTTATTTTTTCTAGTCTGATAAAATATCAGTTTGTTCAATGTCCTTTCCAAACTGATCCCTAAGGCCTTGTTCACACCAAGCGCGGAGCAGTTGCAGACCGGATCAAAACTGCGTCCAATGTATTCCAATGGTATTTTTTGCTGCAGTTCCAGAGCAGGTGAAAATTGCAGCAAGCCCTATTTTACCTGCTCTGGGATGCATGCAAATGCCTGGAACGCACTGAAAGCCCATGTTAAACTAAAATTTATATA